GGAGCACAGGCTCCGGACACGCAGGCTTAGCGGCCATGGCTCACGGGCCCAGCTGCTCTGTGGCATGTGGGATCTTTCCGGACCGGGGCACGAACCCCCGTGTCCCCCATCGCAGGCAGACTCTCAACCACTGCGCCACCAGGGAAGCCCGAAGGTTGTGTTATATTTTGATTAAAATTAGTATGTTAGAATAAAGAATGACAAATGTTTAACATTGAACCTGCTTTAGAGTGACTTTACTTTCATGAGTCCAAGATGAATGTAGCTTAGTACTTTATATTGATGTATTTTAACCATAAAAGTTGCAGAATTCGGCAGACTCTTTATCAGAAGTGCCTGGTTATTGCAGGTTCTTCTGTTATTGGATTTGTTATTGGAATATTATCTTTCTTTTTTTTTTCTTCCCCAGTTCAAAGCAGTATTCAACGGTTTCAAGAGAAGTTTTTTATTTTTGCTCTGACACCTCAACAAGTTAGAGAGATATGCATATCCAGGTAAGAGGAGTTTGGATATTCTCCAGGATGTTGGTGTATTAGTCTGCTAGGCCTGCTGTAACAAAGTACCACAGACTGGGTGGCTTAAACAACAGAAATTTGTCTTCTCACGTTTCAGGAGGCTTGAAGTCCAAGACTAAGGTGTTGACAGATTCGGTTTCTTCTGAGGCCTCCCTCCTTGGCTCGCAGATGGCTGCCTTCTTGCTGTGTGTACTCACATGGCCTTTCCTCTGTGTGCCTGTGTATTCCTGGTGTCTCTTCTTATAAGGACACCAGTCCTAATGGATTAAGGCCCCACCCTTATGACCTCATTTAATCTTAATGACCTCTTTAAAGTCCTCAACTCCACAGACAGTCACACTGGGGGTTAGGGCTTCAGCATATGAATTTTGGGGGAACACAGTTCAGTCCATAACAGTTGGGCCATTTCTCCTTAAGTAAGCATAATACATTTTGACTAAGGTTAGCCAAATATTTAATAAATACTCTGTTAGAAAAAAATTTTAACTTTTGAATAAAACCCCTTTGAATTACTTTTGGCAGTAACTTTTTTTTGATGAAACTTTTATTCTAAATATAGCAACATAAAGAATTTGTGGTAACAGAACAAAGATAGAGTGACCATTAACTTCATCATCCAAACATAGGCATTTTTAGAGTGAAAATGGATATTATTATTAATTTTTTCTGGGATAAGAACGTAAACTGGGACCATTCTGAGCTATATGCTCACCTAGACCAAAAAATTAGCAGAAATATGAAAACAATTATGAAAAATACTCTTAGCTTTTCCATTTCAAAAAATAGGGTAAACTTAAACACATTTATAAAGAGCAAATGAACTAAGAGGAGGAAAGAAAAGGAAATCCGTAGTATATACTTTCCCAGTTAAAAATATAGTCATCCTTGGTGTTAATAATATATTATTTATAAGACTTTAGAAAGATTTAGCATAAGAAAACTGAGACTCCTGGAGGTCACATGATTTTCTGGGAATGTAGAGTTAAAAGTTGGAACAAAGAGTTGAGCAAATTAGAGGTTTTTTGCATCCTTTCAGCTCTTCATTAGGACACTCACTTTCTCTGAGATGTTAATAGGAGTTTTTAAAAAGTAAAGATTCAGCAGTTAAGTTTTGGAAATTCTGTATTCAACGTAGGTACATAAGTTCTTAAAGCCAGACTTTTCAGTCTTTAATATGTTAATGTGTATTGTCAATCTCCCAGGGTGGTGGATCCAAATTTATGGGCCTCTCTCTCTTTTAAACATCCTGACATTTGAAGATGCACTGTTGTTATGTGGAAGATTATGGGACACACACAGCTTTAGATTCTTCCATTAATCACATCACTGCTCTCAACAAAGTCTCAGAATGATTTTATAACTTGACCTGGTAAAATTTGAGCTCCCAAAAAGTAGTGCTTCGATAGTCTGGCTCTCCCACAAAAGGGAAAAAGACAAAGTGTTGAAAAATAAGATTAAAAGAAAAAAAAAGAGACAGTACTAAGGATTAGTCCAAAAGACCCAATATCCAAATATCCAAATAATAGAGGTTTTAGGAAAAGTAGAGAAAATTTAGAGGAGGAAATTATCAAAGAAGTAAAATGAATGTAGCTTGATGCAGTTCATGTCCACCATGGGCAAGACATTGCAGGCAGTTTTTATAAATTGGAAGTACTTTCGATCTTGGGGATAGTAATAAACCAACTAAAAAATTAATAGGATAAATGAAAAATTATATTTTATATCCAAGCCATATCATTATTAGTAAGTTTTGTTTGTTATTCATTGATGATTCCTTGCTTGAGAACATTTACTAAGTGTTTATTAGGTACAAAACACTATTGTATGACATGCCTCTTTTCTACAAGTTGCTTGCAGTCTCGCTAGTGAACTAGCTCATATACATAAAATGATTGTTGGCATTGCAAGAGCCAGCATGAAAAGAGCCAATTCAGTAATGACAAATAGGAGCTGATTTATAGGAGAAGATTACTATTAACGTTGGTGGTCTGGGAAAGCTTCTTTAGGGTGTTGGGTGGGCCTTTAAAGAAGGAGATTATGTACTCAGCATGGAATTGTGAATAATATGTACCATTTGCCTTAAAAAGGTGTGTGTGTGTAATTTGCGTAAGTGTGTAAAATATGTCTGGACAAACATGATACGCTGCTTCTGGAGGAGGTGGCCGTGGTCGGAATTGGGGGAGTCTCTTTATATCCTTTTTTGTATCTTTCTGAAGTTTGAACTATGTGAATGTATTAACTAGTCAAAAAAAATGAATGACTAAAATTTAAATAATTATTTTCAATTAAAAATTTTAATCATGTTCTGCAGATGGTTGGTGGTGATGGTATAATGTGAATGTACTTAAAGCCATAGAACTATACACTTTAAGATGGTTAACATGATAAATTTTATCTTATGAATATTTAACCACAGTAAAAATTAAAAAAAAAATAACCATAAAAGTAAGGCTATTTGTGATCCCACCAGCAAAGAAGACAAAACACACATACACATGTGCATGCAAACTCCAGCCTTTTCAGAGTTGGGTAATCAAATAGTAAAAAATCTCCTTCTTCCTAAGAAGCAGAAGTAACAGTTTGGTACCCATTACCTAGGTTTAATAATTATCAACATTTTGGAATCTGTATGTGACCACTCCTCAACCTTTTCCCTGAAATATTTTAAAGGAAATTGCAGACCGTGTAATTTCACCCAGAAATACCTCAAGATACATCTCTAATTTTTAACGTAATCACACTAAAAAATTAATAATTCTTTAATATAAAAGTGTCTATCCTATATTGAAATTTTCTCAGTTCTTCAGTATTCAGACATGTATTTTGACTTTTATGTCTCCCAAGATTTAAAAAAATCTTTTTACTTTGAAGTAATCTTAGGTTTATAGAAAAGATGTGAAAGTAGTAGATACTACTCTTCAGCCAGTTCCTTTAATATTACCACGTTGCATAATTATAAGTGCAGTTATCAAAACCAAGAAATTAACCTTGGTGTAATACTATTAACTAAACTACAGTCTTTATTCAGGTTTCATCAGTTTTTCTTTTTTTTTTTTTTTAATGGCTCATGGGCCCAGCCGCTCCACGGCATGTGGGATCTTCCCGGACCGGGGCACGAACCCGTGTCCCCTGCATTGGCAGGAGGACTCTCAACCACTGCGCCACCAGGGAAGCCCTCATCAGTTTTTCTGCTAATTAATTTCTGTTCCTGGATCCAATCCAGGATCCCAAATCACATTTAATAGTTGTGTCGTTAGTCTCTTTCAGTCTGTGATGGTTTCTTAGTGTTTTCTTCTCTTTCTTAATTTTTGATATTTTTGTGGAGTGCTGATGAGGTATTTTGTAGAACGTTCCTCAGTTTGGGTTTGTCTGATGTTTTGTCATGATTAGATTGAGATTATGCATTTTTAGCAAGAGTACCTCAAGTTATATGCCCTTCTCAGTGTCTCATAACAGTGCTCCATAATATTGATACATCTTATATTTGGTGATGTTAATTTTGATCACTTGGGTAAGGTACTGTTCACCAGACTTCTGCACTGTAAAGTTGCTGTTTTTTTCCTTTGTTATTAATAAATATCTTGGGGGAGATATTTTGAGACTAGGCACATATTCTGTTTATCTTCAAATTTTTCCCACCAATTTAGCATTCACTCATGGATCTTGCCTTAGTACTTACTTCATCATAAACACTCTTGTGCTCCAATGATGTGATTTTTCTGTTGTTATTATTCTTTTTCACATTGGAGTTATACTTTTGTAAGGAAGAGCTGTCCCTTGCCCCCCCATTTATTTATTCAATTACTTGCTTGTATCTGTGTGGGCCCTGGAGTACTCTGGGTTATAATCCAGTGCTATATAATTCATATTGTTGCTCAAACTGTTCTACCTTTGGCTATTGGCCATTCTTTCAGGTTGGCTCCTTTTGATATGTCTCCACGCATTTCTGAGGACTACTTTACTGCTCCAGGCTCATCTTTTATTTTCTCTGCCCCAGTTCTGGAAGGATAACTTCTCCAGGGAGCTCTGGTTCCGCTCTTACAGTACTTCCTACCACTTTCTTTGGAAAAAAGTGGTTCATTTGACTCTGGATTTGGATAATTGTGTGTCTTGTGGTATCATTTGACTTCTGTCCCTATGGTTCTCAAATTTTGCTGCATATTAGAATCAACTGGGGAGCCTTTAAGACTCCAAATACCCAGATTTCATTCATACCAATTAAATTAGAATCTCTGAGGATGGAACCCAAACAGCAGTTTTTAAAGCTCCCCAGGTGTTTCCAGTGTGCAAATTTGAAAACTGCTGCTGTGCATCCAGCTCCTCCCCTTTGCCTGTAATGGTGGTAAGGTCTAAACCAGAGGCGTGAATACATTCAGGTTTGGGTCTTTTTTTTTTTTTTTCCATTACATCTTATAATGATTGATCAGTGAGTTCAGCTCTGTTCTTGGCTATAGCACCACTCCTTCCATTGGGTACCATTGCCTCTGTAATCATGCTCTCTCAGTTTCTTACACTGACATCTCTTGCATGTTCCCGAAATCAGCGTGTGATTCTCTTCTCACTGCTCTGTGATAGTATCTGTGAATGTGCTTTTTTTTTTATCAACTGGCTTCAAAGAGATTTTTGCTTAGTATATATTTCAGTCTATTGCCTATTTCATTAATGGCATGGGATCTGCCTGGACAGGCCTCCTTGTATTATCCCATACTTCATCTACCACATCCCCTCAGTTTGCTACACTCTGTTGATCCTTCTTTTATGTCTCTTTCAAGATTTAAAACTTGAATTAACTCTACCTTTGAGGGAGTTAGCATGGTCTTTAGAGTAGTATCAATTGGAATGTGAATTCTGGCTCAATCACTTAAGTCTGTATGCCCCTAGGTAAGTTCCTAAAGCCTATTGAATCTTATTTACCCAGCGTGTAAAATTGGAAGAATAATCACCACCTCACTCAATGGTTGGGGGTTGAATGCCATAAC